ATCCCTCATATATGTTATGTATGTTGGAAATTTCCCGAGCTACCTTCACTTTTGACACGGCTTTCTTTTTTTACCCCCCCACTCCCTTGAGCGGGAATTAACCCAAATTGCTGATATGTTCGTGGCACATGGAACACAAAATACGATATAAAAATAGGACAAAACACAAAAGGCCGCGCAGGGTGCAATCCATTCAAATCAAGCGAATCGGGCGAATTGAACGCAATCCGGACGCAGTTCGGTGCACTCGGAGGATTTTTGTTTTCCTTTATTTTTGTTTCGGTTACCCATCTTCTGTATATACATAGATATATGTATTTTTTATCGGCGCTCATCTGCCTGTCTGTTTGAATTGAGCATTTCCAACTGCAATCTCGCTCGCCCCTGGAAAACAATTGTTTCGATTGCGCAAAACGTGAATTTCGTTAGCGATCCGTTGGGATAATAGCTCAAGGCTGTATGGCTCTATTGTTCATCCAGGGAATTCTCAACTCGGGCCTTGAATAAACACTGTTTGTCGGCAGGGCAAACAAAGTAATTGGGTTGCCAAATATTGCGCAGGGATCCCGGATCACCCTCACCACGAATATCTCTTTATTTCATTTCTCGATGCTCGAGATCTCAAGACTTTGATAAAACAGTCGAAGGTGCATCCTCTTTTTGAGTCGGCGGAAACAGACAATTGTCCTGGCTTACGGGAAAGTAGGAATAAAGGATCCTCCTCATTTACTAAGTAGAGATCTAGGAGCCTAAGCCGAGAAGCTAAGTAGCTGCGATCACCGCACTTAGATAGATCGACTTGCAGATGCCCAGATACGAAAGAGTTGTTGTCCCTTCCCCCAGAATTTAAGGATTACATTCAAATCCCGGGGATCTCTGATCTGTCAAATTGTGCGTGGGCTAATGGGGATCCTTAGAATGCTGTGGTACCAAATCAAGGTGTTGCGCCAGCTGTCGCTCATTCAAAAAGTCGCCGACCGAAAGGATCCCGCTGAAATTGTCGAAAATTATTTTTTTTTTGGGATGGGAAAGAAGGTTTGAGGACCGTCCGAGTATTTTCACAAAAGCTCAGGGCCCGACGCTTTGAAGTGGCCGACAATACAATGCCGGTACTATGGAACACACCTAAAGAGAATTATTAGTAGAACTATATATTTCCCAAAAACGAAAGTAAATAAAAATACTGATAAATATTATTATTATATTTTAGAACAGATTTTATTTATTGCCAGAGTTGGAAAAATTAGTTCAAACATTAATACGGGTATAAATGGTTTAAAAATTGTTCCGAAAAACCGCCATATACAATTTAAATCATAGCAATGTAATAGAATTTAATTCCGAAAAATGTCTTTTGCTAAAGTTCTTGAGATATGATTACAACACTTTTTTAAATATTTTCAATAGGGGTAAATATTAAATATTCTTTGATTAGATTAAGAGATCTTATTTTTTTTATTTTTAAAGTTAAGGTTATAAGTTAAGTGAACTCTCATGATATATTAAATAATAATTTAAAAAACTAGCTCATACCCTGCCAAGTATTAAGGAAACACCTTATTTCCCTTTTCTTGTCTTGTCTTCGAAAGCCCCCTCAACTTTGAGTATTTCCTGTGGCTAAGCTGTCATATCCCCCGGCTCCTTGGCAAGTGACTCGTCCGGAGCTCCGCACAATTAGCTCACTTCAAACTTCGAACATTTCCCCTTGGGCGTGGTGTGTGTGTGCGATTCGGCAGGATCTGTGGGCTCAAAAAGCCGAATGGCGAAGGGGGACGCCTGTCATAACTGCACAATGGGACGAGGGACGCGAATCGCAGGACTCACAGGACTCACAGGACTCGCAGGACTTCCTTCCTTTGTTCGAATCGCTCTGGAGCGGATTCCCCATATAGATTTCATTTCGCTCAAACGAGGTAACCGATACGGATGCTTGTTCTTTTAATTGCTCGGGCGAAAACGATAGGCAATCATCATCTCGTCGAAAGCTGAATTTGAATCAGAATCCGAATCCGCATCTGAGTCTGAATCTGAATCTGAGGCCGAATCGGATGAGGAATCAGGAATCAGGATGCGGGGCAGCGGCGACCATTTGGCGTCGACTGTTGGCGGTCGTCGGCATTTTGATTGTCGGCTTTTGCGGCCGGCACAAAACTATATCGAATTACACATCCAGCTAGTCCATTCGACTGACTGACTGATGGACTGATGGACTGCGCGGCGGACAGAGTGTCACTTTCATCCCAAAATTGCCAAATCACTCGGCTCAAAAAGGAAAAAAAGGTCATTAAGTTGCCCCTAATTTAAGAACTATGAGCTCTGAAATAGTTGCAACGAAAAATTTAGCCTTAGCACAGTAAATGTTTAATAAATATTTTGGTAAATATTTTTGGTCAAAAATACGAGATTCGCATTTTAGTCAAAAATACGATTTTTCTGTCCAGTTTTTCAATTGTAGTTCAGCCAAATGAAGGCGTACAGCTAAAAGACCGACTGTTTTGAACAGCTCTCTAGCCAAGCTAACGATCCCAATTATTTTTAGGAAAATTTATTTTTTGACCCATTTTTGCATTTTTTGTAGGGGGTGCATCGTGTTTTTTTGCGAAAAATGTCAAAAATTAAAATTTTCCAGGTTTTAATGCCAATGGATTGGAAATTAAACAACGAGTTCAACGAGATATGGCATTCTTCGATCTGACGATTATTTTTGTTATAGCAGCCAAAAAACTGAAATTTTATGGCGAAAAAATGGGATTCAGATTTTGGTCAAAAATTCGAGATTCGCATTTTAGTCAAAAATACGATTTTTCTGTCCAGTTTTTCAATCGTAGTTCAGCCAAATGAAGGCGTACAGCTAAAAGACCGACTGTTTTGAACAGCTCTCTAGCCGAGCTAACGATCCCAATCATTTTTAGGAAAATTTATTTTTTGACCCATTTTCGCATTTTTTGTAGGGGGTGCATCGTGTTTTTTTGCGAAAAATGTCGAAAACTAAAATTTTCCAGGTTTTAATGCCAATGGATTGGAAATTAAACAACGAGTTCAACGAGATATGGCATTCTTCGATCTGACGATTATTTTTGTTATAGCAGCCAAAAAACTGAAATTTTATGGCGAAAAAATGGGATTCAGATTTTGGTCAAAAATTCGAGATTCGCATTTTAGTCAAAAATACGATTTTTCTGTCCAGTTTTTCAATCGTAGTTCAGTCAAATGGAGGCGTACAGCTAAAAGACCGACTGTTTTGAACAGCTCTCTAGCCGAGCTAACAATCCCAATCATTTTTAGGAAAATTTATTTTTTGACCCATTTTCGCATTTTTTGTAGGGGGTGCATCGTGTTTTTTTGCGAAAAATGTCAAAAATTAAAATTTTCCAGGTTTTAATGCCAATGGATTGGAAATTAAGCAACGAGTTCAACGAGGTATGACATTCTTCGATCTGACGATTATTTTTGTTATAGCAGCCAAAAAACTGAAATTTTATGGCGAAAAAATGGGACTCAGATTTTGGTCAAAAATTCGAGATTCGCATTTTAGTCAAAAATACGATTTTTCTGTCCAGTTTTTCAATCGTAGTTCAGCCAAATGAAGGCGTACAGCTAAAAGACCGACTGTTTTGAACAGCTCTCTAGCCGAGCTAACAATCCCAATCATTTTTAGGAAAATTTATTTTTTGACCCATTTTTGCATTTTTTGTAGGGGGTGCATCGTGTTTTTTTGCGAAAAATGTCAAAAATTAAAATTTTCCAGGTTTTAATGCCAATGGATTCGAAATTAAACAACGAGTTCAACGAGGTATGACATTCTTCGATCTGACGATTATTTTTGTTATAGCAGCCAAAAAACTGAAATTTTATGGCGAAAAAATGGGACTCAGATTTTGGTCAAAAATTCGAGATTCGCATTTTAGTCAAAAATACTATTTTTCTGTCCAGTTTTTCAATCGTAGTTCAGCCAAATGAAGGCGTACAGCTAAAAGACCGACTGTTTTGAACAGCTCTCTAGCCGAGCTAACAATCCCAATCATTTTTAGGAAAATTTATTTTTTGACCCATTTTCGCATTTTTTGTAGGGGGTGCATCGTGTTTTTTTGCGAAAAATGTCAAAAATTAAAATTTTCCAGGTTTTAATGCCAATGGATTCGAAATTAAACAACGAGTTCAACGAGGTATGACATTCTTCGATCTGACGATTATTTTTGTTATAGCAGCCAAAAAACTGAAATTTTATGGCGAAAAAATGGGACTCAGATTTTGGTCAAAAATTCGAGATTCGCATTTTAGTCAAAAATACTATTTTTCTGTCCAGTTTTTCAATCGTAGTTCAGCCAAATGAAGGCGTACAGCTAAAAGACCGACTGTTTTGAACAGCTCTCTAGCCGAGCTAACAATCCCAATCATTTTTAGGAAAATTTATTTTTTGACCCATTTTCGCATTTTTTGTAGGGGGTGCATCGTGTTTTTTTGCAAAAAATGTAAAAAATTAAAATTTTCCAGGTTTTAATGCCAATGGATTGGAAATTAAACAACGAGTTCAACGAGGTATGACATTCTTCGATCTGACGATTATTTTTGTTATAGCAGCCAAAAAACTGAAATTTTATGGCGAAAAAATGGGATTCAGATTTTGGTCAAAAATTCGAGATTCGCATTTTAGTCAAAAATACGATTTTTCTTATACGATTTGTATCTGTTATAAATGTACATCTGCGAAAGCAAATAATTTTTAGAGCGCCAATTCAAATCAATCCGAAAATAACGACCCTGTCTTTCCCACAAAACCGCAAACAGCGCCATCTGGCGGAACTCAGCATAACCTTTTCTCTAGCTAAGTCGCATGCCATCTTAAGCTTAGATAGCAACCCAGGGCAGCAAAGCGGTACTTATCAGCTATCGATTTCTTATTCCTATTTCAAAAACCGATAGGTTTCCCTCCGTATGTTTTCGGTATTTTCATATTTGAAAACTTGTGTCCTTTTTTAGTATGTTTAAGGACAAGGAAGGCTGGCAGCCCAGTAACGAACGGTCTGAGAAAACATTGAAAATCAAAAAATCGCAGTTAACGTTGGCGAAAACGCGAAAATCGTGAAAATCCACCGCCCCGCGCCCCGCCTGCAAAAGTGGCAAAATTGCGAAATTAAACATCGAAAAAACCGAAATCCCTTAAACCAAATAGGAAAATCGGGGGAAAGGATTAAGAAAAAAGAAAACCCAGGACTTACAAGTGTGGCAAAATCGGATTACGGATTACACAGAAATTGAAATATATATACATCGAAAAACATATATATAAAGCTTGTATATAGCTTGATCCCGGGACTCGATTTGCCCTTTATCCTTGGCGGCTCGTCCTTTGTTGTTATTGTATTATTATGTAAGCTTTTTTGGAGTGTGTTGTGTGTTGTTGTCGCAATGAACTCTTTATTGTCAAAGGCAATTGAACGGCCGCAGCTGCCGCACCCCACGCCCCCCTTTCGAGCGCCCACTTATCCACCCACCACCGCCCACCACCCACTTTCCCACTTTTCATCCCCCACAAACACACTAGAACACACAAATACAAGCGCACACGAAGGACCTTTGTCTAAAAAAAAGCCAAGTTGTTGCTGTTGCACTTATTTGATTTGATGACTAAGTGTTGTGTGCTTTTCTTTTTCGTTTTTTTTTTTGGTTTTTCAAAGGACGACAAGGCGATATCGATCGCCAGCTTGCCAATTATCGATAAGTCGCATGACGTGCTTGGCTGCGAAATTCAGTTCAAGGCAACGCCTCGAGTCCTGTGTCTCCGTCTCCGCTTTGTGCTCATCCTTCGCCCCCCCTCCCCACGCTCCACCGCCCCCCCTGCCCCCCACTAACCACATCTATTCAGACAGCCAAACTATTATTGCATTTGCCAAAGCGATAACTTGGACACGCTTCATCGATTATTTCGATAATATCAATTATTGGTTTTGGTGTGGGAATTGAATGGGAAATCTCTTTTGGAGTCTTGATAGTGAGCTTATTGGGCGCATTATGGATGTTTATTGAATGAGTGGCGATTATAACTCAGAATATAATAATTCTTTTTACTCCATTGCTTCTATTTAATCATTTCTTTAAGCCAAAATCAAATAAAATTATGCGATTGTAATGCAAATCAATTTAAATATCTCACTATATTCTACAATTTAGTAACTGTCCACTAGCCAATATAATATCATATTTTAAAATAAATTAACAAGTGCTTCAAACTTGTATATATAAAAAAAATTTCAATTCTTCAGTTATTATTCATGTTTTTGTGTCAAATAATACATTTTTTTTTACATTTTAATCAAATAAAATTAATCAAATTAATTAAAATAGCCTACAATACATGTACTTATATTCAATTTGACGAGTTCAAGTCCCACGGCTGTCTAAGTTTTTACCTGTTATATTAAAAATGTATTGCTTAAGCTGTAAAATTCATATAATTTCCCCCATCTGTTTGGATAAAGCTCATACTCACCCCACATCTTTCAGAATTCTCTCCAGGATGTTGTCCCTGTCGTCGCCGCCGTGGCTGCTGCTCCTCGTCCTGTTCTTCTTCGCAAGTGGCTCGGCAACGGTGGTCTCCCTGGCAGAGAACGCGACACTGGCGACGATACCTTCCTCCTCGCCGATCTCCGTGAGCTTCAGCACCAGCTCTTCGTTGGCGGCGCCCATTTCCACCGAACAGGATAATCAAACAGCCAGCAGCAGCGGCAACATCAACGCGAACAACGAAGCCAGCGATGAGCAAACTGGCAATGCCAACAGCAACATCAGCAGTCACAGCAGCAACATCAGCTTGCCCAGCAGCAACACAAATGGCAGCGGCAGCAGCAGCAACAGCAACATGAACAGCAGCAACACTAGCAACTCCAACAGCAACTCCAGCTCAGTTGCCACTTTGAGCACAACGACAGCGGCCAATTCTGGTGGGGATCAGCAGGAGGCTCTGGTCCTGGCCACGCCCACAGCCCTGAATGGCAGCAGCACGCCCCCCGAGCACCAGACAATTGGCCAGGCCCCGCCCACCAAGGGTGAGCAGGAGGCGATCCTGCGAGCCCTGGACTGGCTGAAGGAGAAGCGGGCCTCCGACTACGGCTGGGGCAACGACACCCATGTGGTCATCCTGGCCAAGGAGCTGTCGGGCGGGCGGGATCCCAACGACAGTGTGGACGGGCACGTTCAGGTCATCCAGGAGTTGGAGGACACGCTGTCCGTCAAGGAAATGGAGATCGAAATACTGGCCATGCTGGATCGCCATCACACGCTGCCCAAGCCCCTGGATCTGGATAAGCTGGCCAGATATGTGCTCGCCCTGGGCTCCCTATGCAAGGATCCCAAGCACTTTCATGGCCACGATCTGGTGGCCACACTGCAGCACCATGAGCCGGCCCAGGACATCGAATTCGCCCTCACCACCCTATCTGCCTGCAGTTCGGCGGCCCATGTAAGGAAGCGCCAGATCCGGAGACTCCTGGACATCGCCAGCGGGGTCACGGATCAGAGTGTGGACGCCATTGCCATGGTGATCCTGGCCCTGCGGTGCATCGTCACCGACCATCGCCATCGCCATTTGCAGCACTTTGTGCGACGACCTGCCCGGGGATTGGCCTCTCTGCAGGATCAGCGCGGCAGCTTTGGATCGCTGAGGAGCACGGCGCTGGCCATGCAGGCTCTGCAGGATCTGGAGTACGATCCCGCTGGCCACTGGAATCGCACGGCCGCCTCGCGCTACATCCTCAGTCGCCAGCGGGCGGACGGCGGGTGGAGCGAGGAGCCGCTGCAGGATGGCCAGGAACCCGACATCGGAGTGGGCCTCACGGCGGACATCATCCTGGCCCTGGGCTGGAAGGGATTGGGTGCGGTGCGCGCGTTGCAGTGCGACCATGTGATACGCGAGAGCAGCGATCCCACGGGTGAGTCTGGGTTCTTAAGCTTAAAATAACCAGAGATCGGGGTCACCAATCTCTATAACTAGGCTGGGGATACACCATTTTTATTTACTTTATTATCAGAAACGATCTGCATAGCATTCTGGAAATTATCGCTTAAAATTGGGGGTCACCAAAAACTATAAAAACATCTATAAAACATCATAAGTAAATGGGACATACGATTTTGTAATCATGACATTAAGAAAAACCCATTTTAAGATAATTAAAGCACAAAGCTTTCGAGTTATTATAGATACACCAAATTAAAATCCTCCAGTGTAGATTTGGGTCACCAAATAAATTAACTTTTTTATTTCACTATTACCACCATTCGGATATTTTTTTTCCCGCACAGAGAACGGTGAGCCCAAGTTGGCGGTGCCTTTCGGTCTGAGTTCCTCCGCCGAAGAGTCGGACGCCAAGAACATCTCCTACACGTACACACTCTGGGTGGGATCCAATGTGACCGAGGCCTTCTCCCTGTCCCTCATCTCGCCCAAGAACACCAGCTTCTTCAAGGCCATGACCCAGGCGGCCGAAATGGATCCCAGGTAAGTGGTTCTATACCTCGGAAATACTTCTTTAAAGGTCTCTATCACTTACACTTCCATCTATTCCCCTTCAGATTTATTTTCGAGGCGCGGGAATGGCCCAATGGTCACTATGTGCACACTCTGTATGGCAAGAAGGAGGAGCCCCGAGGGTGAGTTTTAACCAGATTTGGTATTATATATGCAAATAATAATGGTATTTATGTAACCTATTGATCAGGTATCACTACTGGCTGCTTTATCGATTGCCAGAGCTGCCCGATCCCAATAATACGCCCGGGAATCAGCTTATTGCGCCTGTTGGTAAGTATTTCGTTTTAGTTTACGATTATAGTGGAACTTCTCTCACTCAAATCCAATGTTAAAGAAAAAACTTTTCAAGAACAAGAAAAGAATAACTAAGATACTAGTAAAGGAGTCTAAAAGTATGCTTCTGTTTAAAAATTCATTGCATACTTTTAAGCACCAAAATTAAAGGTTTCAAAACGCCTAGTTAAAAATAATTCATTTTTAAATGGTTGAGTAATTATAGTAAGAGAAGTTCGACTGAAGAAATCCAATCCCCAAGCAGATAATAACATTTGATGGGAACTCTTGCAGGTGTGGACGAGCTAATGGTCGAGGATGGGGAGCACTATCTGTATTGGTACAAGAAGCTCTAAGCACGCGGCCTTAGACGGAGCTGCAGTTTAACCCACTAAGCAAAGTCGATAAACACCCGGTGCTATCGGACTATATCTATTCTATATATATGGCCATAGTCACGTCTCACACACACACAACACACACGCAACAAGCGAAAAGGCACACACACTCGCACAGGAATAGCTGTATTTACAGGTATTCCTGTTCAGGTGTACTGCTCCCTCTATATATATTGCATATATAACTGCATAATAATGGCGTAATCAAAAAAAAAACTAAAAAGAAAGAAACAAAAAAATAAGACACCCCAACAAGAGTACACGGAAATCACAAGAGAGAGTGAAAGATCGGTGAAAAGGAGGTAACTGTGGAGGCCCAGATTTCTAACGGATAACTAGGATACAACACCCTTAATAGTTAATTGCTCTAGACCTCACAACTGATCTCGATTCGGAGCACCTCAGGCTAATACTTATGCATAACGATAACGATAACTAAAAACGATAACAAACCGATAAAAACCAAAAAGAAAAATGAAAAAGAGAGCGTGATGAAAACAAAAAGTAACGACTTAATGCACTAAAAACAGGCATCGAACGGTTAGCCGTTGACTAACGGTAGCAATCCGTCCGTTTTAGGCCCTCTCAATGCTTCGCTTCGCAGCTATCGATGCTAATCGGTTCTCGGTTATCGGAGGCATAATCGGGCGAATCGTTTGTGCGATAAGCGATAACTATTTCGTTGCTCGTTCAAAACACCCAAAAACAAAAAAAAAAATGAACAAAAACCAGAGAAAACCCAATGCTTTATATGTTATTGAAATAAAAGAGTAGGAAGGAGGGATCTAATGGATCTGGATCTGATCGATCTGAACGTAGACAAAACGGAAGTGGTGGAGAAAGAGGCCATCGAGCTAGTCCAAGCGAAGCATGTTATACCAAACACCGTACGTAACAATAAGTGATTGAAAATCATCCTTAGACATACACACATACTGCATAAATCGATATATACATCTTGCATATACATTAAAAAAAAAACTAGTTTTATATGAAGTTAAGTGAACAAAGGCCGTGGCATATTATATAACGAGTATACAGGATAGCAAAACGGAGGAGAGAACGATACTACCCCAGGACACTATATATACAAACGCTCCACTATATGCCTGTCAGAAACTATTCACTCCCCATTATTACGTACATGCATATACCCAAAGCCATATTACCCGAAATCGCATTACCACATATTATACATGCTATATCTATCCCCCGATAAAACGCCTACTCATTATATAGCACCCCCTAAACTCTTATTACTCATCGTCGCCGCTCTCACCCACCCACATTTCTTCACTTATCACTCGGAACCTTCAAGCCGTTGATCTTAAAGCCTAGCCTAACCGAAAACTACAACTACTAAAACTACTACTTGAGATCTTTAAGTGCAGCAGCGAATCCAAAACTAAACTAAACATTACTAACCTAGCGATCTAACTAACTCGTTTATATTATAAGCATGAAATTGAGCTTTTTAATTGTGCAGAACCCAAATTAGAACACGAAAAACAACTACAACTAACAACTACACCAACACCGACACCTAGAATACAGATGGATTTGGAGAAAGCAGCGTAGGATTTGAGGAATGTGTTATGTATGTTCTATAACCCAGTATGTCCCCTTCCATGAGTACCCAGATTTGATTTCAAGTCCCCAACATTTGAACAACAACGGCAGGAAAATATGTGCATCATTTTCGATTCTACTCCAATTCGGTGAAACAAGAACTTGAAAAATTTCACATTTTCGAAAAAACTTGAAATCCTAACCTCAAATTTGATCCAATGAATAATCGAAATTGAAACATGTATAGATTTTTGCAAAATTTGAAATTTTACAAGTTGTGAGTTTTTAAAAATTCGATTAGTTTCGAAAAAGTTGCATTTTACCTTGCTATTGCTGACTTCTTAAATTCTGTTTGGTGAGTGGAGAAAGTAACAAGAACAAGCGTGAATAAACATAAAAATAATTGAAAACTATACGGAAAAACCTCTTTACTTTAAGGAAATTATCCACATCAGGTAAGGCGGTCTCAATTTAAAATTGTAAGCTTTTATTTCAGCTTTTCAATGCGGAGATTCAGCTTATTTTTTTCGCACGCAGATTAACATTTTGGTATTTTATTATTATTACGTTCTTTCTTTTTTCTCTTTACTTTGCCAGAGTTTGCGCTGTATATTGTATGAATATAATATATAATATATAGATTCGATATTCGTTTGTCTTTGCTACGATTTGAAGAAGGCCGCATAGAGCACGAAGGCAACAGATTTACAACATCAAACACTTTACAAATACGATTCGATTACTCATGCACACATTACACACACGTCTAGCTAAATAGGATGGATTGGAGGATTGGATTTGGATTGGCAACAATTCGAGTTCCATCAATTATACGACTTGTTTTATCTGGAATTTGTGGTTGCAGTTTGTATATAGGAATATTAAAAGCGATAGAATCATGATTCATGTATAATAGGGCGGGGCGCAAAGTAGTCCTCAATGAATTTTGAAGTTAATTTGGAAAACTAAACTAATCTCTAGTTGAGTTCGACCATTTAAAAAAAGAAATGGCGACTCTTGAATGCAAAATATATGTAGCAACAATTATTTGAACAGGAATTTGCGAAAGTGAATAACAATAAATATAGATTTGTAGCATTTAAATAGTGGATTAAATCACTTTGCAAGTTTTTAACAATTTCATGAGAATAATTTAATAAAATAGTTTGGTATTTCATTTCGCAAATTCTTAAAAAGCATTTATCTATGAAATTAAATTGACAATATGGGGTATAGGTCCTAATTGCACTTTCAAACTAAGTGTTTCGATCGTTACATTGCACATTAAATTGAATTTCTAACAGATATTGCGGAAGTGGCTGTGGATATCAAGACTATGTCTTCAGAGAATACGTTCGCCCCGCCCTTTACAGTATATAGCTAAATACGAATGCTTAGGTTTACGTAGTGAGGCGGCTTTGCTTTGTTCTCAGTTGAGTAGCCCTGCTCCTGGGGGATTTCCCTTCTCGCCTTTGTTCGCTGCTGTCTCGCTCCTTTTCGTGCTCATCGCTCACATGGCGAAGCTGAGCTGCAGGGCATTGCGCAGTTCGTTGAGCACCATGGAACCGATGACCATCTTCTCGCAGTTCACCAGCAGCGTGAGGGCCTCCTCCGTTTGCCAGTGAAGGGTGAGGAGCACGAGACTCTTGGAGCTCAAGGTTTGGCCGGCGAAGCAGTGCAGCTGGCCACTGGAAGAGCTGTGCGTATGGGCCACATTGATGCACTCGAAAACCTTTTGCCGCAGAGCGGCGACATCGATTAGATCGCGCCGCAGGCCACGCAGCTCGCACTGGTGCTCATTCATGCCACGCAACTTTGCCCGCTCCTCGCGATGACAGCTCTCGCCAATCTGGACGGATCTCACCAGCTCGCCCACCGGCGGCTTCAATTGCAGCCGTGAGCTGCCCGCACTGGAGATCAGCTCCAGATCCACAGCGTGCGTGGAATCATTGAAATCCACGCCCAGCACTCCACTGGCTGTTTGCTGCGGCTGGAGAATGGTCACCGGCGCAAACTCATTCAACTGCATGCCCGCCGGCAGGGTTGTTTGGCCCAAATGAATGGCCGTAATCTCTTTTTCGCCACGATTCTGAAACTGCAGCTCAATGGAGCACATGCTCGAGGAGTAGAGGTGCGGCGAGCGGGTGAAGCGGTAGCCCAACTGCAACCCATGCCCACTGACCTTGTTGAGTAGCTCCTTGTGCTTGAACTCGATGTGCGAGGGGCCCACCAGCTCCACCCGATTGCGGGCATGCTGCGGCTGCAGTGGTGCCGCCTGCCCAGCCATCAATGGAGTGCCTGCTAAGAAATCATTAGAGTAGGTGCATATTATAGAGGTGCATTTAATTACCAGGCGTAAGGAATCCTCCCAGCGAGGGCGTCATCACAGGACCAATGGGCGGAATGTCATCCAGATCGAGCAGCAGGTCCAGATTGCTTTTGGATGCCGGCTGCTCTGTCTTTTTCTCCTGCTTCTCTTTCACCTTATCTTGCTTTGCTTCCGTCTCCTTCATCTCCACTTCATTGTCGCTACCGGAATCGCTATCTTCACTACTGCTGCCACTGTAGGCCGATGACTCCTCGCTGTCCGAGGTTCCAGAGGAATCAGCTGCATTGTTATTATTGTTCGTAGTTGCTTTTGCAGGAGATGCCTCCGCCACTTCAATGCCACCAGCATCGATGAGCTGCTCCTTTTTCGCGGAAACCTTTGCGGGCTGCTGCTGCTGTTTCTTCTGCTCCTCTTCCTCATCGCTGGTCCCGCTGCCATCGCTATCCGATTCGCTGTCGCTGGTGCCACTGCCACTGCTGCTTCCTGATTCCGAGTACGCCGAAGACTTGTCCTCCGATTCGGAGAGGAAGCCCTTCTCGCCACCCGCACTCTTTTCCTTGCCTCCGGCCGCACTGGAAGTGGCCTTGGAGCGCCCCGAAGGCGAGTCCTCGCCGGGCAGCTTGTCCTGCATGAAACCGGCTATATTGCGGACCGACGAATCCGGCGGAATAACCGGAAAGGCAGGCAAATCCTTGTATCCAGCCGCAGGCATGTTCAGATAGTGAGACAACGATCCCAGTTGGAAGTTGTTGCCATCCCGGTACTTGCTCTCCGGTACCGGAGCCGGTTTGCTGGCCAGGAACACTTGGCGGGCATGCTGGCTGAGCACCGAACTAGTTCCGCTGGCCGGGAATATGATCTGTCGCAGGAAACGGGCGCGATCACGGACATCGTAGTTCGGATCGTAGCGGGCCAGCGTGAAAACATACTGACACAGCAACGACGTCTGTTCCGGATTGGTCAGATAGAGCTTAACGCCCAGATTCAAGACCTGCAGCTTGACCACATCCTGCTCGTCCACAAACGACTTGGCCATCTTGCGCAGCACATCCGGGGCAATCAGCGGCACCTTCTCGTTGTATTCGCCTATAAGCCAAATGATGGCCGCCCTAGCTGCTGGCACATTTATGTAGTCAATGAGCTTGGCCATCTGGGTGATGATCTCAAAGTGTTCGGCGGCTTTCGTTTGGAGGAGACGCTTAATCACCACCACGCTCTCAGCCACCACATGCTCTGAAGGGAATAGAATATGGTTTAGTTAGAGGTTCTTCTTTGTAAAATAGCTGAACCCACCATCATGATTGGACAGCAGATGCACCAGGCCACTCAAACAGGTCTCGGTGACCTCCTTAATGCTGGATGCACATCTTCCAATGGCCTGAATAGTGGCAGCCACAAATGACCTATCGCTGCTGGAGATGTAGGTCTGAAACTCGCGAAGGATGAGTGAAATACTGCCCGCCGAAGCCAAATTGGTGAGGATATCCAGCTTAAGGAGCTTCAGGTGCGTGGGATCGCTGGTGCGCACAAAGAACGACTTGAGATGCGGCTCAAAGATGGCCTTTCGCTTGGTGGACATCGAGGCAATGCAATTGAGGACCACACTCTGGACCTCCTTATGCGATCGCAGCAGTCGTATGAGCGCCTTGGCAATCAGTTGCACTTCATTTTTGGGTGCCACATGGTGATAAAGCTGCGCCACCGCCATCACCACCGAGGCATTTCGCGATTGGAGTAGAGGTTTCGTTTGCCTCAACAACAGGCGATGATCCACATCGATGTGGTAGCTGTTGCTTGGAGAACTTGGTGTCCTGCTACCATTTCCACCGCCATTATTGTTGTTATTGTTGGTACGCGACTTGTTCTTCTCCTCATCGCTGCTGCCGTCATCGCTGTGCGAAGAGGAGTGCGAGGATTCGTCGTAGAAGCGTTCGTTTACAGGCGTTTCACCCAGGCCATCGTTGACCAGGTCCTCGTCATCCGCATTGGGATCCACGAACTGAGTGCGTGCGTAGCGGGTCAGCATGTTGATGATGATCACCTGACCCCATTCATCCACGTCGACGAGAAGATTGCACAGCTTGCGGTAGTTCTTGTGGATCAAATCCACTCGTTCTGGGCAGACCTAAGATTATAGATTCTTAGTATACAGAGGGTTAGGGGTTTATTCTAGCTGCAGACCCACCTCATCGAAGGCCATCACTGCCGATCCCACCACCAGCGTAGTGCGATCCGACAGCAGCTTCTCTATGACCATGACCAGTTCGTCCTTTTGGTCCGCGTCCAGAGAATACAGCTTGGGAATGGCGTGGGCCGCCGTCTTCCGCACATAGGGGCTCAAGTCGGCGGCACTATCCCGGATGGCCAGCATTACGATGGGCACGATCATGCTGACCCTTATGGAGGACAACACCCGCAGTGCCGAGGCGCGGATCAGTTGATTGGGGTCCTTGAGGGCCCGCTGAAACGTGGAAATGGAGAGCAGGGCCAGGTCCTGCTGCTCCTCGGCATATCTCACCAGATAGACATAGACCAGCTTCTTGACCTCGATGTTCTTGGACACGACATTCTTGACGACGGCCGGAAACAAGTCACTGGCATCCCGTCCGCGCGCGATCATCCCGATGATCCTCTTCATGGCCTCCAGCTTGAGGCCATCCTTGTTGCTGTCCAGCATCTGCTTCAAGTCATCGTGCTTGCGTCCATCGGACTGGAAGAAAGCTGCTCCGCTGGCAGGATCTGCTCCAAATTCCACATCCAGTCCCATCTGGGGTCGCTCCACATACGTGGACATGGCGAACGGATTGCTGGCCGTGTTCTGCTGCATGCTGGCGAGGACTACCCTGGATTCGGATGACCACTTGACCTTTTCCTTTCCTTTCTTTCTTTTCCTTCCTTTTTTTTTGTGTGGGAGTTGGCAGTTTTTTCCGATTGGCAAAAGCCTCCGCCGTGAAACCTTCGGTCTGGTGGCCTCCCCTATGTGTGTTATCTCGAATCCCCGAGAGGATCGGCCTGGTCAGCTGGTCGTCCTGCCACGCAGCTTGCGAATTCTCAAGGGAAAACTATTATTTATGGCGAAAATTCGGCCAATTTTTGCATTTTATTTTAGCTTCTTTTCCAGTGTTGAGCAACTATCGATGGATAAATATACCAAAATATACCGACTCTCATAAAATACCAAAGTATCAGAATAAATAGTAAACCCAATTGGAATATTTATAACTCTAGGTACGTTACGAACATTAACTAAGTAATTAATTTTCTATATAAACATTTGTATGCACATTTTTAATAATACTTCGATGAATTATAGAATGTTATTATCGGCAAAAGATATGGTTACCGAAAAATTGGGTTGTATTGTCATTGTCAAAAAAATAACTATTTAGTATAATCTCCTTTGAAATTAAAAATTATTTCCAGAAAAATAGGGACTATAGTCAATTTTCCATTTTTGAAAGAAAGGTTACAACTATTGGCGAAACTATTGGCAACGCCGTACCAACTTGCTGTGTGATTCAGGTCGGCATTTAAGCAGCGCGGCAATCTGGCAACACTCGTTCGCTACAACTCGACAACTACGTGGCTGCTGCGCGTTTAGAAGTGATTAAAAACAGCCAAAAGTACCCAGAATAACGATGGAAGGGACGCTCGTCAAGGTGCTGCTCCTTGTGGGTAGCCTGCTGATCCTGTGCTGCACCAGCCACGCCTTCATCGTCAGCGTGGACGCCCACAATGAGGAGTGCTTCTTCGAGAACGTCGAAGGCGGCACCAAGTTCGGTATGTGGAGATATGGATATGTGGTCTTGTGCGGGGTATTTCACTGATAAAACGATGACACCTTTGCAGGCGTCACCTTCGAGGTGATTGACGGCGGCTTCCTGGACGTGGACATCAAGATCAGCGGCCCCGAGAACCATGTGATGCACGAAAGCGAGAAGGAGTCCTCCGGCAAGTACACCTTCGTGGCCCCCGCCAAGGGTACCTACACCGTGTGCTTCAACAACGAGCGCAGCAGCATGACGCCCAAGCTGGTCATGTTCTCCATCGACGTGGGCGAGGCCCCACAGCGCGCCCCAGGCGCTCCCGGCGAGGAGGAGGTGGGCCACACCAAGCTGGAGGACATGATCCGGGAGCTCTCCGGCACGCTGACCAGCGTCAAGCACGAGCAGGAGTACATGCATGTGAGTGGGAAAGGCATAGAAAGCCAGCGGTTGCCACATAAACAAGAAAGGGTTTCTGACCCCTCCTATTGGCAAAATGAACCATTGTTTTATTATGTCCCCTGACCATATTACTGGCCTGGTGCCACATAAACTAGCATAAAGAATTTAGTAGGTTCTTACTAAGCTCCTATTCCAGTTTCACTCCATAATGCTTTAAATCTGGGTAGCCTCTCGTTAAGAAGCTGAGAAATAGTTGAATCATTCTTGTCTTTCTCTAGATAATGGGGTGAATTTGTCAAGTTGCATTCCCTGATATCCACAAATCCATCTTTGCTTATGTAGAAAAGAGTTCATTCATGTAGATTGTCCAGGGAAGTGACACCACTAGTTTCTGCATTAACAATAATTATATATCGAGGAGATATGACGTTTGAAGTATCATTTAACCAACCCCTCCACAAACATGGGAATCCATTCCTTCATGACTAGGTCTATGATCATATTATATCTACTGCTTACCATTCCTTGCTAATCCCCAATCGACCCACTCTTTCAGGTGCGCGACAAGATCCATCGCTCGGTGAACGAGAACACCAACTCGCGGGTGGTGCTGTGGTCCACCTTCGAGGCCCTGGTGCTGGTCCTCATGACTGTGGGCCAGGTCTACTATCTTAAGCGCTTCTTCGAGGTCAAGCGCGTCGTGTAATCCCGACGAGGAAACCAGGATGAAGAGCGGCACACTCAGCTGGGGGAAATGTGTGCGCAATGTGTTGCAGTCTCAGATTTAATTTAAACGATTAACATCCTTTTGTAATTTAAATAAAATACCTTGTAAAAAGTAACTAGTGTATGGAAATATTTTTAATTGTCTTGTTTTCGTTTCGAGAACTTTTACAAAGATATAAAAATTGCATCTATAAAATAAATTATTAAGAAAAATTAATATTTGTTTTCCAAAGACCAAAAATTAAGACGAATTTTTAAATGAAAACAAGACAGAAAATATTTTCAGACACACATTCAATGGGGGAAATGCCACTTTGTGTATGTTTCAATTGATTATACAAAAACCATTTATGTTTTATAATAAATGTAAATTAACATGAACCGTGGCCACGTAAAAAAACAAATTTTATCCGAGTTTTTGTAATTTTTGGGATAAAAATGGAAGTTTGTTTCAGGAAATTGTGGGACTAGTATCGTTTGTTGGATCTTAGATTTGAAAAACTAGAGCTTTAAGAAAGAGACCACGAAATCTATAATTCAAGTATTTTACAAAAAGTTTTCTTGAATGACGACAGTCATTAAAACCTTCGTTCAAATTTTTGTTTTCCAAGAAAACAAAGCTTTTTGTGAAATCAGGAACAATATCGAGGGTGTGGGCTAGTCGAAAGTATATCGAAAAGTTCTTTAAAAAGACGTAGCTGTATCCACTGGTGTAAAAACTAATATATATACACAGTCACAATGTAGTGTAAAATAAGAGAGAAGAAACCGGTTCTATTTAAAATTGCAATGCTTGAAAAGATAAACATCCTATGAACCAGTGGAAATAAAATATTATATTGTGCAGAAGCTCGTTTTGCAGCACTGACCCAACGTTTGATTATACATATTTTCTTATCAATGCCGAATTTTGGAGACCGGGGAGTTCTACTGAGGAGTCCAGCTATTCGACTGCTTTCAGTGAGTGCTATAATGGGTAGTATGTGTGCCGGCGCACTTTGGCCTGGTCGCAAAGCACAGCTCCCCAAAGGCGATTTTGGACAGCGAATGCTGCAACAATGTCGCCTTTTGGAAAAACCCAATGTATCGGTGGACCTCAAACACTTTAAAGCGTTATCGGAAAAGTTTCCAGCCGAGGTATGTTCATTGGTGGCTCTAAAAAATCTTTGCTAATCCTGGTAGTCCTCCTCCTTTTAGTTTGGGATCGATACCTGCCGGGTGAAGGCCCAACCGGCAGATCGCAGTGAGAAAATCCGGGAGCAAATCGCTTCCGCTTATCCGGTTATTCATGAGAGGACTCTTCTGCTCTACATCAGTTTCCTGGAGCACAAGCTCAAGTTCGGTGGGTGCACCATTATATTTCCTAAATTCAACAAAATCTAAAAGTCCGTTTTTGGTTCTTAAATCCCTTACCGAATTGTTAAATATTAAAAAGATAGCATTTTTAAATATACAAAGGAGTTCCTAACAAATTTTTAAAACTGGGTATGTAAAAAATATTATAAAAATTTCAATGCACATTATTAGAGACCTAAAAAGCACAAGCTATTAGATGTGTTTCACTTTAAAACCAAGATATGATTTATGATGATATGAACTTTAGATGTACATATGTATACTTTGGGGTCGCCTTTTAACAACATATTAGAAACTTGAAAATTCGTATGCAGATTATTAGAAAGCTAAACAATGACCTTCTTTAAAACAGCGATACAAATGGTAGAGTTATAGACACTATAATCGCAGTTTTGGGTCACCTTTTATCCTAACCTAAATCAGTAACTAACCGAATCCAATTCTACAGGGAGCCAGCAGGAGAAGAACATCTACAAGGACATGACTGTGGTGGATTTCGTGCAGCGTCTTCTGGCGAAGCGATGTGTATGGTTCTACGGCAGTGGCGACTTCTATAAAACCATGGATGGCCAAACAGGACACGAGGGCTTCGAGAAGGTGGGCACAGCGTCGGAGAAGTATCCCCTGACACTGAACTCGGTGCTCATCTACGACGAGATCAAGCTGGCCGCCCTGCTCTACGCGTCCACCCACTCTGAGTTCATCAACAATGGACGCAGGTCGAATGCCGGTGAGGTGACCCAGGGCAAGAGTACCATCGAACGGGAAGGCGTGATCATTGGACTGATTGGTGCCCGGTTCGAGCGACCCGATGTGATGGAGTACCAGGATATTATGATCACCCAGACTCAGAATACCCAGAACAGGGGCTATGGACTGTCAAAGTCCTCTAATAAAACCGACACCCCAGCCTCAGATTTGCGTAGAATCTGGCGGGAGTTCTACGAGGAGCCCGCGGACTTTATTTTTGAGGACGTACCCCAGAATGAGGATCGTTTCGAGGAGGTTCCCGAGGGTGTTTTCGACCACCAGGTGATGCGCAAGCGATATGCCATCAGTTTCGATACCCTGCTTCTGGAGGCCCAGGATAGAGCACTCAAGATGGGCAAACCCGCCTACATCCATGTGGTGGGCATTGGCTTGGGCGTCTGGAAGGCCGCTCGTCGCCAGGATAGCACCTTCTTCCAATCCTTCGAAGAACGATTGCAAGCACTTGGAGCACGACTCAGTCACATCGGTGTGGTGCACTTTTCCTGGTTTCATATCCGTGGATTTGGCGGATTGTACGACGGAGCCATGTTTCCCGTGGAGAACCATCCGCGAGGTGGCATTCTCATCCGGAATTCGAAACGAAATCCCGCCGACAAACTGGAGGAGAACATGCTGCCCGTGGTGACATATGCCTGGGATGGAAACGCCCTGCCTGGCAATGAGTTTTGGGCGGTATAAATATGATATGATACCTTTTTATATGACATTAATGCTGATTTTTCTATAGAAAACGCTGATCGGCACTGGAGATCCGGCAGCAGCCTGTTCCACTTTGATTACAGAGCTGCAAAATACCCATATAAACAGGGATTACATGAGTGGAGCCAATCTGCACATCGCATCCGTGGAACATGGACTGCTTCATGTGGGGGACTACGCCAGGAAAGTGATTGTCTAACTATCCTTAAAAAATTGTTACTCATATAATCCAAATACTCCATAAGCCTCATAAAATGTGGACATTTTTATATAGAATTATTAACTTTATACAAAAGGGTGAGGTATTAAATACAACTCATCTAAAAAATCTCAGGGACTTGGTGTTTTTAAAAAATATACTATTTGTTAAACGATATATGAAAACTATGCAACGAAATAGTAGCCTTTTTAAAAATTTTATATATGTGCATTGCACCATTACTAATAAATATCTTAAAAAGAGGTGGATGTTTTTATTAAGAGGAAAAGGAATAAAATCATAAAATTAAAAGATGATGAAAAATTTGTATGATACAAGCAATGTTTTTCGGCTTGATAAGAATGTGGTTGTGGTCTTTATTTTTTCAAGCTGTATTGTGAATAAATGGTACTTTGTTATACCCGCCCAATGACAGCTGTGAAAATAAGCCACCATATTCTCGGGATGATTCGATGCCCGCATTCTAACAGTGCCATTGAATAAGAAATTGATTGTGTGTTAACCATTACTGAGTTCGTTTATTGAAATTGAATAGAATTATTAGCTGTCAAATGACAGAAATGTGATATTATTGTAATGTACCGTATATAGATAGCAACAAGTAACACAAGATCCCAATTTTCGGCATGGGTCAGATCAAACAATGCAATTCCCCGCACCCTCTCACAATCCCAAATCTTGGTGTGTGTTGTGTTTGGTTTTTGGCATTTCCGTTAAGTATTAAAAATTATGTCGTATTTAAAACACTTTGTTCTGTATACTTCTGAAACAGCGTCGTATATCGAAAACAGTGATATAACATTCACAACAAGTTTATGCTCAAATATAATATTATTCTTTATCAACAATAGCGTTTATCTGTAACGGTGCACACCCCACTGTTTTATCGATTGCACTACGTATGTACACTTGTCTATATATATATAATATATATTCGGTATAACTAGATATAATTTAATTTCGTTACATTATTTTGTAGGTAATTAGTGCGAGAAACAGTACAATAAAATCGAAAAGTCAAGCACAAACATGCTCCATATATGATTTAGTTCAAGGTATATATGCAATAGGTAGGTATCGTTAACGCTTTTAGGTTTAGCTTTGTATTTCTAGTTAATATATAGGTATATTATGATGGCAAACTGCATGAGGATCTGAGTGCATTCCATAAAAAAAAGACCTGACAACTTTACAATCGAACTTCTGTTACTCAAGCTCCAGACTTAAGACTACGTTCTCGTATAACAAATCGTAAGCTAACTGAATATGTTTATTATTTCAGTTCTCACACTCACTTTCAGCTGGGAATTCCATTCAATTTGTTTATGATATTTTGCTTATTTAGGGTTTATTTACTTGACAGGTTGAGAAAAATATATTATTTTAAATCGAATCCCTGCTGAAAGTGAAAGTCATAACCAAAATGCTTCCTTAAATGAACACAACAAAGTAGTTTAGAACATGGCTTAGGTATAGATTCGCTGTGCAAATCGAAAAAAACATATATTTATTTGTTGTAATAAAGAAAAAAATACATAGAAAAACATAAAATGCTTTAAAGCTTCTTATCGACAATATTTTTTGTGATCTAATATCCCAGAACCTAAAAGTAATGGTGAAAAATCCGAAAGTGAAAGAGATATGGGAAGAGTTCAAATCATATTCCCATTTACAAATTCGTTAGGTCGTCACTTTCATGATTTTTCGGGGCTCGTCAGTGTGGAGGGAGGGAGCAGGCAGGAGTAATACCAATACCAAATATATAGCATACAAAAGCAGCTGTTGTGGTGTAGCTTGTTAATTAAACTCAATTGAGAACAGCTTTTTTCAGAGCGGTTAGGCCAACAACTTGGCTTGAGTCACCCAAGTTCGACTGCATATACATACATGTATGTAATATGCTTCTCAGCTTTTCTTATATAACATATAACAGAGCGGCGATAACAAGAAATCACTCGTCATGTCCGTTTATTGTACTGCGTGTGTTGCGTTGCGTGTACGATGCACGTCATTCTTTGGTGGATGGGCGTATATTTTTATGGAGGCGCCAGCGCTTGTCCATCCGCCTCCGTTTTTTTGTTTTTTTCCCGTAACCCGTAACCATATCGGTCCACCCATATTTTCGTTTCTATTCTGTTTTTGTTTCTGCCTCCTTACTCATCGTAATCGCTGATGAGCAGGCCACGCTTGCTGAATCCCAGCGATGAGACGGCGGACAGGTTGGGCGTCGTATCGATTCCCTCGAAGAGATCGCTGGTCACCGAGCTGTTCAGCGAGTTTAGGGTCACGTTGAAGGTCGACCTGCCGCCGGCCGTGTGGAAGCGCTCCTGGAGCTGCTGCTGCCTCTTCAGGCGGTCCAGTTCCTCGCGCAGCGCCTGGTTGCTCGCCCTCAGGCCATCCGCCTCCCGCAGACAGTCACGCAGCCTTTTGTGGGTGTAGAAAATGGAGAAGTTTGTTTATATTCGGTGGTCATTGGAAGTACAGCTTGTTTGTTTTAGGGGGAAACCGCAACCGGAGATTATGGAAACCCCATGCTCCCTTCTTGAATCATAGGGAAACTTGAGAATCCAGCTCATTTTGCATGAGATAAGGCGAGAAATAACCGCTTTAGGGTCTTTTTACGATGATAATACCCCTTTATCAGCACTTTAAGTACGCATACCTACTGAAAATTCAAGACAGATCGAGTGTCGGGCCTTTTCGTAACTCTACTCCCCAGTCCTTTCTTAAACATTATGTAAACAAACTTTTTAGTCGCCTTTCATGAAAGACTGAATACCTCTAAAAGCCCCAAGGCCAACCTTTTTAAAGACTTAAATTACTTTTTAAAATATAAAAGAACCCAAAGAACCCACTTTTAAGATTTAAGATCTACAGGAACTTTAACTTCTTTAAAATTCAATAAAAAAAGATCAACATATAACTGCTGAATAATATCTAAATAACTAGGTAATTTTTGACTTTCTTAGGGGTCCTATTTTTGATTAAAGGATAAAAAATTAGGATCTTTGATAAATGCATTTTAAGAATTAACTCAAAAGAGTGCATTTTATAAAAACGATGCATTTCTTGAGTATCTTGAGTTTAAAGCTTAAATAGAAAGCTGAGATGTAAAAAAACTATGGCCTATACTATAAACCTTAAGATTTTAGAAAATCCCCCATTATGGTTTCCCCCTGGGACGAAGACCCCACTTACGTGTCAATTTCGCCCTGCATGGTCTTGATGTACTCGCACGCCTTGATCAGAATCTGTGACTTGGAGTCGTTGGGCGGCGTGCGTCCGCTGGAACTGCTGGGATTCCCCTTGGGATTGCTGCTGCTGGCCGTGCTGGTGCTGGTACTCGTGCTGCCACTGGTACTGGGACTCGTGCTGGCCTCGCTGAAACTGGAACTGGGACTCAGGCTGGGCAGCATCTCCTTGAGCTTGAAGATCCAGCTGTTGATCTTGTCCCGGCGGCGGCGTTCCACTTCGTTGTGCGTGGCACGTCGTTTATCATCGCGTTTCTTGTAGGCCTCCAGTTTGCTGGTGGGCGTTTGGCCAGCCGTTTCCGGCTGGGAACGGGCCTGGGCGTGGGAGCCATAGAGGACACTGGTGGCGGTGGTGTTTCCTGAAGGAGCAACAGCAGGATTCACAGATTGGGTTGTTACTACCAGAGGTTTCAAGGAGGGTGCAACTGGCGGACGGCTCGGCTTCTCGCTCAGCGTATCCAGCTCCAATTTGATGGCCGCCTTGGTCGGTGGCTCACCAACCAAACTGGCCGTGTCCTTGACCAGATAAATCTCACAGCCGGTGGGCAGCTGCAAATTGGTGGGCAGCAGCGAATGGACATCCAGATCGGAGCCGGGCTCCTGTTTTATGGCATAGTACTCCTGCGAGTCATCCGAGTTCTCGTCCCCACAGATGGTGAGGAAAATCTGGGCACCCTGGCTGCTCATGAGGGCATTTCCCGTGGCGCTGGTGAGGATTAGGCTCTGATGGCCGTTGGCAAAGGAACTGCTGAGCAGGGCCTCCGATAAATCGGCCGTGTGATGGCTGCTGATGATGTTGGTCATGAGGCTGTTGCCAGGAGAAGGATTGGGATTGTTGCTGGCTACGGAGGTGGATGTGGTGGTGGAACCGAGTTCCATTTCCAGACGTGGCCGCTTTCGCACATTCATCGTGGCATCGATGTTGATCCGCTCCGACAATAGCAATGGGCCAATGCCAGTTGCAATCCCAGCCAGAATCCTTAGCACCCGGAATCACGTAACCCTGGATCTTCCCGGGATCTCCTCCTCTGTGTGCTCCGATCTCTCGTAGGATGGTATTTCGGATATGGATGGTGTATATCCCTCGATCTGGACGATCTGCGGTGTTATTAACTCCCGACTGCCACGAGGATCTGCTTTGGAATCGAGCGCTGCGGCGGATCTTGGCGTGTTCGTGTTCGCACGGCCATTTAACAATACAATTTGTTGATTTTTTTTAACAAATTATTTTCGTTTAGTTTAGTGTGCCCGTCGGCGGGCAGCGAATATATACCGACAAATACACACAGCAGGTGTAGCGAAGCGCTAGAATACCAGATTTAGTATTTTTCCCGACAAAATTTAAAAGTAATCTATTCTAAAACGCTCATTAAAAGTTTGGGAATCAATGCAGGGTCCGTACACTTCAATTTAAAGCATACAAATGTTAATAAAACTATTTCTATAGTTGTGTAAGTGTCTACTAACTTATTCCGCCCCAAAAAATCCATATATGTTACGGAAAAAGTGAACTGTTCAACAACCCTTTAATTGTGTACTAATTTTAACCATAAAAAGGTCAGCAAATACTTTAAAACTTAATTAGAACTTTTATATTCTATCTCAAACTCCAAAACCAATAAAGGGAGTTTGAATTTTAATCAAACCTCAAAAATACCAAATGCGTATACGTAATAGCTAGTATTACGTATACGCCACACTGGCGGCGGCCAAAATGTCGTTGACTTCGCAATTGGTTGCGAATTTGAAACGCTTTCGCCTGGTGACCTTCGACGTGACGGACACGCTGCTCCGCCTGGAGGATCCCCTCCGGCAGTACCATCGAACGGCGGAGGAGTTCGGGGTCACCGGGGTGGATCGCCGACGGCTGGAGCAATGCTTTCGCCAGCAGTTCAAGGCGATGAGCAGTGAGCATCCCAACTTTGGCCGCTTCTCGCCGGGATTGGACTGGCAGCAGTGGTGGCTCCAGCTGGTGACCCGCACCTTTGGCTGTGTGGACCAGGGACTACCGTCCGAGAAGCTGGAGAAGATTGGCCATCGGCTAATAGACATTTTTCGCACCAGCGCCGGCTGGCATCATGTCGATGGCGCCCAGGAACTGGTGCAGTGCGTCCGCAATGCCGGCAAATGTGTGGGCGTCATCTCGAACTTTGACCCTTCGCTGCCAAAAGTCCTGGACGCCATGGGCTTTGCCAGCAAGTTCGATTTCATCCTGACATCCTACGAGGCCGGTGTCATGAAGCCCGATCCGGGCATCTTTGAAATCCCCTTGAAAAGATTGCAAATCCCAGCGGATCAAGCCCTGCACATCGGCAACAAGCTGGACTTTGACTACGAAGGTGCTCGGAACTGCGGCTGGAGCGGATTGCTGGTGAATGGCGGTGGCAACAAGCACTCCTTTGCCAGTTTGTCCCATCTTCTGGAGGCCCTGAAAACCCAACCGATCCAATGGTGATCCACCAAAGAAACTCGACTCAGGAACACAGTGTTCTTCGATTAGCTCATGGCTGTAGTTATTTTGTAGATTTCTTTAAGATTAAGAAACAGAACAGGGTGTAAAACTAGTGTTAAATATAAATACGCGTTGGCCTAGTCGCCATACTATATTCTTTTTGGGACATTCGAGGGAGGTTCTGGACGAATACGAACACAGTAAAATAATTGCTATATCTATCCTATTTGAACCTAAAAATAATTCAATGGGCACTGCAATCCAAGTCCAAGGAGCTCAGCACTTTTCTGAAGACTTTTTAACTTAATTCTTATCGAATGTGTCAAATTGTTAACGATATCTTAATTGACGTGCCTAATTTAACTTAATTGCAATGGCTGGCCGGAAAAGGGTGATTCTTTCCTTTAAAAAGTGTGTTTCCTTAAAGCATGATCAAAAAGATTAACAAATATTTTTAAAGTCTAAGAAATGTAATTGTGATTAGCCACAGAAAGTGACAATACATATTTTAAAAACTTATAGAATGTGTTAAGAGTTTCTTATATCAAAATCCTTCTATGTAAAACTAGAAACCCAACAATGGCTAGGAAAATTCACTTTTCAAATTAAACACTACACATTTGACTACCTATTTTACCTGGTTGAAAGGTTTCTCACTGTGGATTCGTGCAGGGCCACTTGTACGATGAAAACCTCCGCTCGAACGTCCCTGCTTATATGCCTAGTACGATTAGACTATTCCTGAAGACTCTTCCAGTATCTCGGTTAATATATACACACGACACTCGCACACAGACCTAAATACTATATGAACAGATTAAAAGTAAAAGCTAGTTTGTGACCCGAAGTGTTTGGTTGTTTTGTGGGGGAATGGTGACCATTGTACTATTACTATGTAGCCTTGGTGGCCTTGGCGGGCATTTGGGCCTTGGCCGCCTTTAGCTGCTCCAGATTGAACTGTTTCCGAATCTCGGTGGACACCTGCCGGATGACCGCATCCGTGTTGGCCTTGAGGTCCCGCTCCAGCACATCGATGTCCACGTCCTTGCTCTCCAGTCGCATCTGCATGTCCGAGTAGAAGTCGCAGAAGAGCACGGGCTCATCGGAACCATTCGGTGTCCTCGTGCTACAGTATTGACCTCTTCGATGGAGGTCATCGTTGTTGGTCTTGGCATCCAGGCCGAGCAAGCGTCTCGCCCCCAACGGCAACTGCTGCTGGATCAAGCGCTCGTGGTTCTGCGAGATGTGATGCTTCAGCTTCTTGAACTCCTTCACCTCGTTCTTCATGTACTTCACATAGCTGTACATCTTGGAGGTTTTCTTGGTGAGATTCTCCAGGCAACTGATGAAGTTTCGAACCTGTTGGGTACGCGGCAATGTGCTGGGATCCAGTCGCTCTGCCTCATCGAAGTGCTGCAGCGATCGGTTGAAATCGTGTTTCATGGCCAGCGCCGAGGCCAGCACCACATGGTTTTCGGCCACATGTGGAGCATGCTCCACGGCAGCGCTAAGTATCAAGTCGGCATCGGCTAGTCTGCCCATTCGGAAGAGTATGGTGCCCAGACTCAGGAGCGGTATGTCCTTGAATATCGGCGGAGCCAGCAAAGCAGCCAGCCTAGCGCAGGGCAAGGCTTCCCTGGCGTTGCCGCGCATCCGCCAGTAGTAGGAGCTCAGGGTGTGGAACTTCCAGGAGGACGGATGGTGCTGCAGTCCGTCCACGGCAAATCGTCGGGTCAACTCCACCGTGGCCATGCCCACATTGGTGTCATGTTCGCGCTCCAGAAAGGCAGCGGCCAGCACCTCGGGCTGAAAGCTCTCCAGATGATCGTAAGTGGCCGGTCCCACGCTCAATCGATGGTAGTCACTGCAAACCGGCTCCATTCCCATGGCGGATGCACTCTTTTGGATGTGCAATTGCCGTTGATCCGGCAGATTTATCCTCTTCAGCTGCTCCGGCGTGATCTTCAGGTATGACATGCGCTTCTCCAGCATGTAGTAGTCCATGGCGCACTTGGCCTGCTCCGCCAGATCCTCCCCGAAACGCATCGAGAATCGCAGGTGCTCCACAATCTGTTCCCGCTTGCGGAGCAGATCCAAGTAGGACCGCTCCACGTATTCACTGTACCTAATCTGCTCGAGGAAGGCCGCCAGATTCTTGGGCTCCCGCATGTGGAACGGTGAGTCCAGTTTGGGCACGATCTGCTCCTCGCGCAGCACCCAGTGGTTGCAGGCCAGCAGCAGGTGGAAGACGCCGAGGAGCACGGCCAATGCCAGCGGGCACGGGCGCATCTTGGAGGAGCGGAGGATCAGGACGAGGACGTGGGTTCTGGATGCGGCAATCCAAATCCAAAATATTCTGTTTGTTTCAAAAAAAAAAAACAAACTCGCCGGCGTGAGACCAGAGCGGGAAATCATTACAATGCATGCAAAGGCTGAGGTCACTGCAGTATTAAAATTTAATTTGGTATTTTCGTATATTTTGAGCAAGGTATTTGGAAGAGCCCGCTTTAAGGTCGTACTGAACCTGTGCATTTCGAAAAAACGTGCGGATTTTCTGGAGATATATTTGGAACCGATTTGTATCCCTTGACATATCCTAGATAAAATGGGTGGCCAGGGAAAGATGATCAACAGGAAGCGGAAGTTTGTGGGCCGCAAGGCGGACGATCCAGAATTCGACCTGGACAAGAAGCAGTTTAAGGTGCTCCACTTGAATGCCAACGAGAAGCGGCTGATCATCGTTTTGGAGGGCGCCCAGCTGGAGACAGTGAAGGTGGGTCCTAGAACTAATATAAAGAGAGAAAATCCTAATGTGTCTGTAATCCCCAAAGGTACACAACACCTTCGAGCTGCTGAACTGCGACGATCATGCGGGTATTATGCGCAAAAACCAAAGGGATCCCGGATCGTGTCGTCCGGACATCACCCATCAGTGCCTGCTAATGCTCTTCGATTCCCCTCTGAACCGGGCGGGTCTTCTTCAGGTTTTCGTACGCACGGAGCACAATGTCCTGATCGAAATCAATCCACAGACACGAATCCCCAGAACCTTCAAACGCTTTGCGGGATTGATGGTACAACTGCTTCACAAGTTCCAAATTCGTGCCAATGACTCCTCCCGACGGTTGATGAGCGTGATCAAGAACCCCATCACGGATCATGTGCCGGTTGGGTGCAAAAAGTACGCCATGAGCTTCTCCGGCAAACTGGTGGCCAATTGCCGGGATCTGGTGCCGCATGGCGAGGAGGGCAGTGCCAGCTACGACGAGCCCGTGGTCATTGTCATCGGAGCCTTCGCACACGGCGTCCTGAAGACGGACTACACGGAGGAGCTGTTCTCCATCAGCAACTACCCACTTTCGGCGGCGATCGCGTGCTCCAAACTCTGCTCCGCCTTCGAGGAGGTGTGGGGCGTGGTCTAGGCCCTCCGATTATTGTTTTTTAGGTTAGTCATAGCTAGTAGTTAGTCTACATCTATTCTTTAAATGCGTTTCCATTAAATTTGGTGGAATTCCAAGGACATCAACCTTTTTTATGTCTTCAAATTAAACTGGGACCTGAATTTTAGAATGAATAAGTTGATATCGCTTGCTAAATAGCGTATTTCTTATAATCATACAAACGGATTGATTTAATTGCATTACAAAAACAAAATAGGGATTGATACGATATAATCCCTCCAAAAAATCATATCATTCAGTTGAACGCAACCAAATTGAATGGAAATTAAATTAGTAACTGAACCATACAATATTCGTGCTTTATTAGTTAATATTACTAAGGTTTAAAAATGGTAGACATTTGTATAATCCATTTTTTTCGTCAAAAGTAGATTTAAATGAAGTAGCTAGTTACATCCATGCATTTTTAAACAGTTTGTGCAGGGAAAACATTTTAGTAATCTGCAGATCTTATTTCCCCTGATTGAAAAGGCAATTGAAAACAGAAAAGATTGTTGCATATATACCATTTCCGATTGCGCCTGGATTATCTCCGACCAGATTGCGGGTCATCACCCCGTGGACACACTCTTTGTATTTTACAATAAGTTGGTTTATTTTTGTATAGTTTGCAGTTACAAAAGACAGGCTTAGAAAACTTGAATAATTTTGAAAGTACGTGGATTTGATGTCCTTGATTTACGTTAATTTATGCTTAACTAATTGCCAAATAGCCCTGTTTTTTTCGAAGGGTTTTTTGAGGGACTGAGAGCTCTATAGGTTTTGTTATCCAGGGGGAAGGTTTTAAGGATGGATTCTCTACTTGGCACCTGGCTTCTTGGTGCCCACGTCGGCTGCCTTCTTCTCCGCCTCCCGCTTGGCGGCCGCCTCCTCGCGTTGCTGCCGGATCAGGGCCAACCTGGCCAAATCGGCTTTAGCCTCGGTGGTTTTGCCAGCGGCATGGAGTTTCTCGTATCGTTGGCGCGCCTTCTGCTTCTCGATCTGTTCGCGCTCCCTTCGGGACAGCTCCGGCTTGGGATGGGCACCTGCCCCCTTGGCCTCGGATGGCCCATCGTCCAGCTTGATGGCCGATAGCTTTTGTGTGGCCTTCTTGGTCACCCGGTTGGGATTCTCGATTTCGATCAGCGAGGCCACACCCTTCTTGGCGTCGCGCGCCTCGCCCTCGGAGTCATCGTCGGAATCCTCGCCAGACTCCGATTCCGAGGAACTGGCCCCAGCGCCCGCCGTCGATCGCGCCTTTTGATTGCGATTCTGGGGGACTTTACGTGGTGCGGGCGCCTTGGTTTTGGTGGAGGAACTTGCTCCGCCGCCCGCGCCACCTTTGTCCTCGCTCTCTGAGCCAGAGCCGCTGGTCTGGTCGCTGTCCGTCTCCGATTCCTGCTGCAGTTCCTCGGGCGATGTGAAATGGCGACTGCGACCCTTGTGGTTGACGAACTTTCCTCGTGGCATGATGATCTCCGGGCTGATCTTTGGGCTTGCCTGCCTGGGTGTGGATCTCCTCCTGGTTGATCTCTGGACCGACTGCTGCCGGCTGTGCTCTGTCCCAATTTAACGACTGCAAAAGTCGTTGTATCCCGCGGAAATACGCTAAATTTAATCACGTTGGCCTATAAAAAAAAAAATTTGCACTTAATGTGTAGTGTTGTACAGGGCCGGCGTTGCGGGTGGGCGGGCAGTGTTGCAAAGTCTGCGTGGGTGAGTTGGCAGGGATGCTCACGATAATTTTTGGCGCCCTCTAGCGTTCAAGTTAACAATGGCTAACCGTTTCCATAACCGTTCAACTCAAAGCGGGAAATTTTAAATGTTAATGGTTTAAGCCCGGAAATGTATTTTTATTATTATTTTTTATATATGTATGTTTTTCCGGTTTTGGGTCAGGCCTACTGAATGTATTTATCAAAGTGATCGTTCTATATTTTGTAAGCATCAGAAAAACCACTACGATTCATTTATTTGTTTAACACTAGTTTCAATACACTGGTTCAATATAAAGTACGAATAACTAAAAATAAAAACAGCTGTGATTAAAAAAAATTAAATTCAACACTCTAGCTCTTTAGTTTACATTTTTTTTTTGAATTGTTGTTAATGTAATGTTGCTGTAATGTACACCTATTGATACTTACTTATTAATAAATTATTTTATGAAAAACAAATAAAAATTAATATTTGATCATTTTTTAAAATATGTTTTTATCATTAAATATAAGCAGAATTTGTAATCAAGACTATTTTTCGCTTAACCATTTTGGCTATTACTCTTAAAAGGTTTTGTACGTTTTATTTTATTAGTTCCTGTTTAGAAATCTTAAATGCATAGTATTGAAAATTTTGATAACTTGACAACTTAAGCCGTGTTCCATAAAAATCTAAACTTTATTTTGGGTCCATTCGCGGCGTGTGCTCTTCAGGTCTTGTAAAAAAAAGCAAAAAGCCTAAAATTAAAATAAATAAGGCACACGTGCTTCGAATTACCAATTAGGCGATGGCAAAGTGTAAACTGGTGTTAAATTTGGCCGCTTCTTTTTATTGGGTCACCTCCAAAATGAGGAAAAATCAATTTTACTTTTACTGAATGATGGTGTTTATGTATATTTCTCTTTTTTCGGCCCCGCCATTTTGTCGAGCCGCTGCAACTGCAACTGCCGAGAATCTCGAGATACAGAAATGCATATATATATGGGTACACAAATATAAGATGCACTGGGATTGGTCTGCTGCTGTGATTTGTGGGAAAACCAGTTTTCTTCACTTTCCACTGGGCGCTGCCGGTTGCAACTAATAAAGCGGCAATAATAACCAGAAATCGATGAGGCCTGTAAGCCGAAAATCGAACATTTGCATATTTGTGTCAGCGCACATTCCTCGATATCATGCATCTCATTAACAGAAACTCTCACATATAGCTTATTGATTTGTGCGGCAAAAACAGGAGAAAAAAACGAAAAATATAATATACTCGAAAATTTAATGCACGAATTAATTATGAATTCTGTGTGTGCTCGCCACGAAAGCGGCAAACAAAAATTCAAAAATTCATGGTAAATGCTGCTCTTCCTCGCTCGCTCTTCATTTTCCCCCTTTTATTTGGACCCTTTTTATTTTGAATAAATGCAAATGAAAGTTCTTTATTTATTACAATTACAGCGGTGAGATGCTGCTGCTTTTCGGCACTTATGCACTTAGAAAGTGCGCCATGCAAATGAGAAGAAATTAGTTAATGGAATTCTAATTGCGTATACGCACTTTCTTGCTGCGTGCGTCAATTTTTTATACGATTTTATAAGATCGGTGGGTTTATTAGAGATATGTGTGTACGCATGGGTTTGTGTGTAGTGCAGGTGGGCCAGCCTGTAGGTGTGGGATGTTTGAGCACTGGCGATGGGAAGTATGATCCTAACTTTGTCATAAGAATTTATTAGAAAAAGAGTTAAAGGAATAAATATAGCACGGCAATTATATATTGTAAAAAATATTTATTATATATAGATACTTTTCAACATAAAAACAGAAATTTAAAATATTACAATAATAGAAAATATGTCTTTTTTAATATTATCAAGGGATAATCATATGTTTAAACAGATCTTTCAAATATATTTAGAAGCTTTTTATACCTAGCACTTTTATCTTTTTCCTATATCTATTTTATGTTGCCCAACTTTTGGCAGCCACTGTGTGGACAATCACGATTCGTGTGGCATTTGGACAATGGACAATGGACAATTCTCCCGGCTGGGCTGCACTTTACTTTGCTCCGATACGATCGGAGATATATATAGTAGAGCAGGCACTGTGATGTCTCGCCTTAAATGGGTCGATGACAGATTGCGGGCTGGTGAGGCTGATTGTGATAAAAAGTAAAGTGAGCACAATCGAAACAAATTCCCACCTAATATCGTTTGGTGAACTCGACTTCGGCCTCTTCTGCCGATTTGGATGTCGTTTCTTTCCATTTCATTTGGTTTGGTTTCGCTGGGCTTATTTTCCATTGGTCTGGGTGTGTAATCAGCACTTGATATCAGAACGAGAACAAGAACAAGAACAAGAACAAGGTGTGTTGTTACTTGTCACTGCTACTGTTGCTGCTGCTGGTGTTGCTCGTTGATGTGGATGTTGCTGCTGCTGCTGATGTTGCTACTGCTGCTGCTAATGTTGCTGCTTCGGTAACGTGCGTGACATACGAATAAAAGCTGCTGCAGACTTACTGTATTATTATATCGCCATTATTATGCACAAGAGCAACACTTATTTATCTCCGCAGTTAAACACATCTCTTTATTCTGGCAATTGATTTCTGGACGGGCATTATTTTATGCTCTACTTAAAATAAAGCTATTGTAAAAATATATTAAATACATTTGATAATGTATGTATTTCATATTAAATATCTTTTAGAATTTTTAAATTTATAAGATACAGAATCGCAAAAATGAAATAGGTAACCCATATTAGATTTAATACTTAGTAGGGTCGATTGATAAAATACAATTTAAGAACTTTATTATAGTAAATGACCCTTATAAAGTTGTCAATTTGTAGAAATATTTCTTAAGCCTCTTTATTTTGTGATCTATAGTTTTTGGAGAGGGCATTTCAGCTGCGGTCTATTGGCCAGCCCAAAAATCCCTCAGCCCATCTTGGATTCTTCGGCGGACCTGGATCACACCCAACTATTTGGCCTGGGGCTCCTCTTCTCGGGGCCCTGGAAATTTACGATGCTTCATTAGCATTCACACAGAGTGGACAATAAATGGCCGCAGCTCAAAAACGATGTCCCCGTTGAGAACGCGATGGTTGTTGTGTCTTCTTGCTTTTGGCTTAGTCCAACTGACTTAAGTTAGTCAGACTTGGCTAAAATAAGAAAATAGAAAAAACGACGCGGGTCAAACTGTGATTTGGAATGTTTATTGGCTTTTGTTGGCCATTTTCGCTAAATGTCTCTTTTTTCGGGTCTTTCATAAGCACCAAATTCCATAAATTAATATCGTTTTTGACTCAGCGTCGTAGAAACTTTAATCCCGCTAAGAAATCTGCTTTTTCTATCGCCCTTTATTCGGTTGTTTTTTGGCCAGACTTTCCGTCAAAGGTCAATTTCGCTTTCTATACTCTTTATAAATGGGGTGTATTATATTATGTTGTTTGATTTTTAAGAAAAGAAAATAAATAACGTCATTTATTTTTTGGCTCGTGATGTTTTCAAGAAGTATCTACAATTATTGAGAATTTTTTAAACTTTTAAATTATACTAAAGCTTTTAAATTGGAAGTGCTACAATTTCTTTAAAACATTTAATATAGGTATACATTTTTTTCAACGTTTTTATAAGAATGTAGGGTATTAACTTTTTAGAACTAGGTTTCCAGCTGTGAATCTCCATCAGTGAACTTTCGCACCACGTGGAAGTTAACCTTTTGTTGCGGAATATGTAGAAAGGCCAACGCCAATCTTCCAACTCCCTTTGTTCGTTCTTTGTTCTTTTGGCCCACTGCCGGATAAATCATCTCTTGGGTTGAATTACATCTTTAAGCAGATGGCCTAAGTGTGAAAAGGAGTGACTTGGTTTTAAATTTAGTCAATAGAAATGCTAGATCTATTTTTAAAAACACCAAAATTGGTGCGGAATGTTTAACTTTCCACTCCCAAATGAAGGGTTGGGATTAATGCACTGAGAAAAACTTGGTTGCCTTTTTAGTTTTTAATATTTTTTAGAATTTCAATCAATTAGGATAAACTTTTAATCTCCGTTCTCTTTTAGGTTTAAGAACGTTTTCGTTTATAGATTAGAAACCCAAAAATTTGCATTTTTCAGTATCTATTTAACATTCTTCAGTGTAAATATCAAATTTAACTCAATTTAATTTGAATTTTCTCTGCGTGCAAATCGATCCCAACCTAGATGACCCACAAAGGGCCCTTTTGGCAGAAACTTTCATCCGCATCGATGTGGGGTTATTAATGATCGGTCGATCCATTGACCCCAACAGAAAGTCAAAAGCCAAAAGACACATAAAACGGGTTCTCGGAAGAAAGCCCCAAAAAGAAGCTAGCCGATTTGCGAAGCGATGCTGAGCTGATGAATAATTCAGGGCCCTCGGGTTCGTAGGAAACCGTAACTGGCCGATCTGACCATATCGACCGCTGGTCAGCTGAATCTGTATCTGCTGCCGCGTTTTTGGCAATTAACTGATGGGTCAATAGGTCTGCGATCTGCTAGGTATTGCGAGCTAATATAAGCCGGTTGCCGATCGTCGGCTAGCTCAGTTATAGACAAGATGAGGAACCGCTGCTGTGTGTGGGCCTTGCTGGCTCTTTGGATGTGCCTGCTGGCCACCGGGGCCACCGGTGAGTCCATGATCGAGGTGGACGAGAACGGGGACGAGTACGAGCTGAAGCGATTCTACATCCAGGGTCGTCAGCTGCGGGGCGATGGCAGCCAGTCGCAGTGCGTGGTGACCAGGAGGAAGCGGTCGGGTCGTGGCATTCAGTCGGGATCAGTGGCCCCAGGATCGGTGTCGGTTAGTTCCCAGCCCCTGACGGTGGAGAGTCTGCCAGCCAAGGAGCATCGCGAAGGAGGAGCCGTTCTGCAGGAGGTGGAGAATAGCAATAGGCGCTTTGTGGCCCTAACGGGTGTTCACCTGGAGTCCCCTGTCCACCAACAAGATGACCACGATGCGGAAGAGAACGATGATGATGATGATCAGGAGGATGATGAGGTGGAAGAGCAGTCTTCTAAGTCCCAGTCAAACTATGTGCCCGCCGCCTTGGCCTTGCCCCTGCAAAGCCAGACCAGTGCTGCCCATCTCAACCAGGGCGTCAGTGTGGTAGCCAATGCGGCCAGTCATGCCAATGTGGGCGAGGATGCCGGCATTGTGGTGGTCCAGTCGCATCAGCCACCCAAGGTCAATCCTGATACCCATGCCGTCTTTGAGTTGAAGCCCGTTCAGTCGGATGTGGACCATCACCACTCGTCGGTGGGCTTCTATCCCTTCGTGCAGCCCTGGGAGGTGGTGGATCAGCATGAGGATGACTACGATGAGGATGATTACGATGAGGAGGACTACGATGACTTCTACTACGGCGGCGGTGGCTTCTACAGGGATCCACCTGGATTCCATGGTCTTGGCGCCTACGAAGAGGAGATCATATCCGAGGACCAGCCCATCTCAACGGTGGCCAGCTGGGTCACTGGCGAGGATGATAGCGATATTCGTCCTGTCGTCAACAAGCGTCCCAATCAGAAGAACAAGAACAAGAACCAAAAGATTAAGAACCAGAAGAATCAAAACCAGAAGAATCAAAACCAGAAGAACAAGCGCAAGCAGGAGGCTCAAGGTGAAGAGCAGCCTGCCAAGAGGAAGCAGAAAAAGCCGCTGCAGGATAAAGGCCAGAAGAAGAAACAGGATAAGGATCAAAAGAAGAAGAAGCCTGAAGAGAGTCCGGATAATCAGGAGATGGATGAACTTACCCCTATTGATGTGATCAAGAAGCCAGTGGCTATGGAATCGACTTCAGCAGTTGCTGCCTCTTCTTCGTCTACAAGCACTAGCGCTAGCAATTCTTCGGCCAGCAATTCTACAGATCAGAAGAAAAAGAAGAAGAAGAAACAACCCAGCAGCACCAGCAGCAGCAGTCTCAGCCAGCGTAAAACCAAGAAGAAGAAGAAGCAGTCTAGCAGCAGCAACATCTCCAGCAGCAACAGCAACAGACGTCGCCGACCCAGCAGCAACATCGGCTCTTCTTCCGGTTCTTCCGGCAGCAGTTCCTCCATTGGAGGCTATCGTCGCCGTCGTCCGCAGCAGCAGTTGCAGCAGCAACGTCGCCGCAAGACGCAACAGCAGCAAAAGCGTCGCCGCCAGCAGCAACAACAGAAGCGTCGCCGCCAGCAACAACAGAAACGCCGGCGATTGCAGAACAACAATCGGCAATTCTACGGCGATGAGCCCATCATCAATTGCATCTACATCAACAAGGATCCACCGACCACCACCACGGCACGTCCCTTCTGGAACATCCTGGGCCGCCAATCGGAAACGGAGTCGTCAGCGAAATCGGTGAATCCCGTACCGGAGTCTTCTGCCGCCGAAGAATCCCAAGTGGATCCCGTGGCCCAGCAGGCGGTTCTTCAGGCCGTGCGTCGCAACTTCGGCGAATTCGGTGGACGTAAGCGCACCAATCTGCGATTCGTCTCCTAGATGACCAATATTCTCTATAAGTCCTAATTTTTTTTTTGCATATTTATTTATTTATTGTAATGCCAATCATCAACACATCTATTTTTTTTGATCGAACACGATGAAAGTTTTATTTTGAGAGAGACCCGCCTCTGGTGTGTGGACAACTTATTCGGGAGGCGTTGCATTTGGTTTTATTGATTTCTGGCCAAAGGGGGTGGCAGGTGGATGGCTTTGCAGGACAGGTCAGAAGAGAAAAGAACAGGTGTGTAACCTGAATCTGTCGCCCCCTGAATATGGTATGCTACACTCGGAGAAAGTGGGGAAATAATGCAAGGAAAACTTTTAAAAGCCCAACAAACTTAAAAAATCCATATGAAAGCAATATGTTAAGTAGTTGCCATATAAGATCTTAGAGATCATATATTAGTATCATATCTTTTAAGAAGTTCCCTTTTGTTTTAGACAAACTATAACCAATGGTTGTCTATACTTTATCAATTTCGTATTTTTATCCAAGTTCTTATTCCGAAACATGGTAAAACCCAAGATACAAAGGTTTCTCCCAGTGTAAAAGCCTCCTCCGTTGGCCGCTTTGTCCTGGACAAAGTTGAAATCACCCCCGAGAGGAGAACTCCGGATATATGCCTCACTGCACAGGCCAAACAGTTCTGGGGAAAAGGTCCGGAGAAAAGGGTTGCGGACCAGGGCCTGTTTTATGTCTTCCGCCACTAGATGGCGCTCTGTTAGCGGAATTCAAATCGCGCCACCTATGACCCACACTATTCCATGTAACACACTGAAAAAAACAAAAGTTCTTTTAAAATATTTTTGTGCTATAAAGTAATTGCTTATTTATTTATTTATTTTGTCAAGGCTTAAAAAATAACATATTATTTGGAAATTTAGTTTTTGGGTTATTAAATAAAAAGCTCATGAATGTGAAGAATAACAACTTATTCCTAGAAATTGAAATATATTTTTCTTTGAATATCCTTGATTAATAAGTAAAGTAAGTAAGTAAAAAGTCTAGCTTTTGTATGGTATTTTCTTTCAGTGTAACAATGGGCTTACTGTGACTCACGGCGATATTTTGGATCGATAATTCCGTGTCCAGCAGCAGCAGCCAGGCAGCTGTGTTCGTACATATATACACAGACACATGTACGAAAAACGTATATATATATTCGTGTATCCACAAGATACAAGACCCATACTCGCACAGAAGATTACCCGCGATGGTTTGGCTTCCGCCCACTGGGAAAATGGGAAAGTTGGAAACTTTCTGTGTTGTTCCTTTTGCGTTTTTGTTTGCTGGACAAATAAAAAGCGTGTGCACACAGGACCAAAGGAAAATCAGGGGGAATAGAGGGTGGTTCTGACGTGGCAGCAGGATAGTGGAAAAGTGGGTGTGGCCGGGATGTGTACTCGAGTGTCACCACCTCCAAGGAAGAAGCAGAATCTACCACGTTTTAGCAAGTCATCGTGCGGCAGTTTGGGGATCTGGGGATACAACTCCAAACGATGGTCGTAAAAAACGAAAAAGAGGAGAACATCAGAATAAAAGGGCTCTCTAATCTCTTGCTTATACTATATAGGCAGACATGCAAAGCTATAGGCACATATCATGTGCGTAAATGCAGATCCCTGGGGAAATGAATAGTTTTTAGTACAAGCTAAATTAATACAATGAGAAATTTTCCAACAAAATGTAGTCGAATGTGGAATGGTACTGTATAATTTTTTAAGAATTTATTAAGTTAAGAACAAGGCTCTTTAATTTTAGTTATACCATGTTCCATAGTCCATTTCGATATACTAACCTCTTAATTTCCATTTGTTTTTTATTTTGATATATTACCGATTTGCTTTGCTTTTCTCACGACTGTTTTTTTTCCTTTGAATGGGGAGGTTATATTTTTTTTGACTTTGAGGGTTTGTGTTATTGATATCGTGCGACATTTGCAACATTATTATTGTTTGTGGTATTTCTGTTTCTTTTTTTTGATTACATAAAATTGAGTGAGATTGCATTCCTCAATCTTTGGATCCCTAAAAAAATAGCAGCAGATGTGTGTTGGCTCCACTGATTTATGGACAAATTTATGGCCAGTCCTTTCTAGTTTATATCTTTTTTTTACTTTTCACTTCCCTTTTCAACTCATCAAATAAAATACAGCACAGAGAAAGGGGATATTTTTAAGGAGAGTGATTTTTAAAAAATATAAAATACTATACTATCCAAATAAATATCCAAATTGGTTGATTTATTAATAAGAAGTAATGGGTTTGATGAGATAATTATTTTTAACAATGATACAAACATTAAAACACCTAAAAAATAAATATATCTCATAGTGTTTAATCCCATTTTTTCCAATGCACTTCTTTCTGGCCACTCTTTTTGGACCCAAGCTGCTGAAAAGGTGTGAGACGCGGCGGGTCAACAACAGATTGTCGGGACAGATGTTTTGGCTGATCCTTTTTTTCCCGAATCGGGGTTCTCGAGACCTAGTTACGCAATGATTTGTCCGATTGTGGGCGTGCTGGAGACCGCCATAAAACACTCGACCCACGAGGGTTGGAGGAGAAAGGTGCGCCTATTTAGTCATAATTGGTCGCCTAATTGGGCCATTGGCACGAGGCGATGATGAAGTGCATCCAGACAGGCAGTCCTTTTCAGCTGCCTTTTTTGAGGATTGGTCAGCTGTGGCCAAGTTAATTATAAAGCCCGATCTCAGCTGTCTGTGCACAGAAAAAATCTTATCATATATACATTCCAATGATTTAAGCCAAATTTTAAATGTATAGCACATCAATGAGTTATTAAAGATTGAAAGATCTTAAAATATGTGTGTGTATAAAAATGGGTTTATAAATTATTAATATAAAAGAAACACATGTACTATACCTATTCTATATTTTGTTCACTGGACATCAGTAAGCATTTTATTTTTATGTCATATATCTATAGAAATTTTTATTCAAGATTAAAGATTAAAAGCTTCTTTAACATTACATAATTGTTAAGTATTTTTAGTTATTAATTAATAAATTTAAATAACATGACTTTATATTTTAATGTATATATGAATAACGTGGTTGTATATATTAAAATCAAGACTTTTGCTGAGTGTAAAAACTTTTCCCCCAGTGTTGGCCCAAATTGGAGCCAAAGTTGGACTCTTTTCGAGGGCAGGCACGAGCCAAGAAACCGCAGAAATGCAGCTTGCATTGGGAAGAGGACAAAGGAGTGGCTGGCCTACCAAGAACAGGTACCACCGCATCATCATCATCATCATCGTTGCAAACGGGGAACAAAAACCGAAATGGGAACGGGAAGAGATCCTGCAGGAGGACAATGACGCTGCCGATGATGTGCTGCAGTTGCAGATAGAATTGCCAAAGGGGGAGATCCCGATCCTCGATCCTCGATCCCCGATCCTTGCACATTGAGCGGCACGTGCCCCTCGCTTTTCGTTTATTTACGAGTTGCGATCATGTGTGGCAGGGATGCAGCGCGTGTGAGGATCCTCCACTCGACTCCTGGATGCACCTGTTCGGCGGTCCTCTCCTGTCCTGGCCCATTAAGCCCAAGGGTTGGGGTCTCGTTTTCAGAGAAACAGGTTCAACGATCGCTACCTGTTCACCGCTCAGAGTTGCAGCATCAGGATATCGCGGCAGTTGCCAAGGTTGCCAGTTGCCGAGGCAGTTGCAACTGCAGCAGCATCTTTTTTTGGCTTGAGCAGGGGAATATGTATTACACAGCTCAAGGGATCTGCGAGGATCTCAAGGGGTCCTTAATTTCAAGGTATGACTCACTATGTAAACTGCATCCTGCAGGCTTCAGTTGACCTCAATGCAAGCACTTTATTAAAAAAGTATTAAGAGTAAGCCTGTTATTAAAATTGGGACAGCAGATATATTAAAATAATATACACAGAAGTCATTACTAAATAAATACATTTACTATAACTCAGAAAAATGTATCTATTAAAAACCCCTTATTGGAACACCAAATGTTATTTTAGAAACCCCATCTAAGGATTCTCCAAGCCCCCTGCCTTATCATGAATCCTTTTCCCCATCCATCCAATAAAGAAAACCGATGTCACTGTCCCTCCAAAAACCTTGTAAGTCAATTCAGATCCTGATGTCCCCGGACCCCCATCCTAGAATCCACAACTGACGCTCCAGAGGGCAGGAAAATTAAAGGTAAGGCATATATTGTATCGTATAGGGTTCGGGAAGAGGGAAAGAGGAAGACATGTGCATGACTGCTTAATCTAATTTAACTGCAATGCCGGGGACGTTTTAATAGGAAAAGACAAGAGAAGAAGAGCGAATAAAAAAATAAAAGCAGCCAGAAGTCAACCCTGCGTATTTGGTATACCCTATACCAACTACCATTGTAATATCAAGAAGAGGGCCCTGAAGAAAATAAGGAAAAACCTGCGGGAATGCCAAGGGCCAGGACAGTACAAAAGCAATTAAAGAAAAGACGATGATGATGATGATGGTGATCTCATGATGATGTCGATGATGGAACAGGGAGAGCCCTATACCATCAGCAAACGTAGAGCACACTCAACCGCAGCGCCGGAAGTGCACACAAAGAGATGGAGATAGCTAGATACGGGAAGATACTCCGATACTGCAGATACCCAGATACTCCAGATGAGCAGCGCAATATATAAATAAAGAAAAAAAGAAGGTAAAAAGGGAAGGGCGCCCGAGAAGATCAAGTCCAAAGTCGGGGGCATCTCGACGTTGCAGTTGCAGTTGCATTTCGCGCTTGAGAGGGCACGTGCCCCTGCTCATTCGAAGGGCGAACCCACATGACATTTTTTACCTCCTAAACCTGAACCCATTCCCATTCCCCCTTTTCGGCCACATATATATATATATACAGATGGTGGCCAAGTCTTGGCACAGAGGGTCCAGCTGCTGCCCACAGAAGTTCTTGATAAGGTTTTCTTCACTCGGGATTGCACATTTCCAAATGGGCGTACTATACCATC